GGGCCCCACTTAACAAAAGTTTAAATAAGGTTTAGGTCCTACACAAAATAAAGTCAGATAAGATTCAGTGCCCCCCCCCCCCCATAATTCGGATAAGGTTCAGAGACTCCCACACACAAGACACAGCTGGACCCAAGGCCATATAAGAACTGACAGTTTTATTTGACAAGAAAATCCAGGTAAACTGCTTATCATGTTTGCTTTAAAGAAAAAAATACCTGGCTGTGGAGAAGATAATTAAAATACCATATGTTGGAGGGAGCAGAGACTAAAGATCACTAGGAAATTAATGGAAAATGTTTGGGACAAAAGAGGTCGAGATAATCATTTACATAAGCATTAAAGGATGCAGTAATTTACACCAGCAGATTAACCCTGTCATCCTGAAGAGAAGCCAAAACTGACACTTCCGCTGGGGTCATTCCGCATAAATGCCACTTTTCTGATTCGTCTATAGTGACCTGTTTATGAGAAATTTGGTTTATGCAGTTGGCCTCTGCAAACATTTAATGAGGCCAGGATGCGAACACACCAACTGAAAACAGCATTAGGGGAGAGAGAGTAGCTTCCCTTAAAAAAAATGTTCAAGCCAAACTGACAACATAATTTCCCTTAAGCCTCAGTGGTAGAGAACACGGCATGAGTCACATATACATATATTTCTTAGGCCTCAAACCCTCCCCCATTACTTTGAGATGAAACCTAAGTAATGTTTCATCCATGGGGTCTATAGTATTTATTTGCCAGCAGACTGCATGGCGATAACAAGAGGAAAAAAAATATTGTTTTTAAAATTCGGTCACATAGGTTAGTTAGTTGTGTATCCTTTACAGGACATTGCAGAAATAACCCCAGCAGCCCCTGGCTGTTGTGTGGTTTCTCTAGGCGAATTTACGTCCAGTAGTTTGCCATTGCTTCTGGACGGTCGGCCCTCTGATGCAACTGTCGAAACTAGTGCATGGACCGCAGCTGGGATCGAACCCGTCACCTTAACATTACAAAGCGTTCGCATCGACTTAGCCACAGAGCCGACATTCGGTCACATACAAACAGATAAAATTTAAATAATGAAAACACACAAGCACTTGGGTACAAATTCAACTGCTTCAATGTACTAAGAGAAGAAACAGAATCTAGAATACAATCTTCCTACACCAATATCCCAATATAAATATGAGTAAAATACACTGTGAGACCGATTGCCTTAGATTACTCTGAAAGATGAAGTACATGTAAAACAGATGAATTGCTGTTACAAACTTCATCTTTTTCACCAGCTGTAAACTCCGGCAAAAGGTTCTGGTTGTTCGTCCACCTCTGGACACCAGTCTTATTTCAGAACCTGAGCGTTGCATGCATATCCATTTGACAGATCTGACATCCCTGTATGCAGATTGTTGGTTCCTTGCCTCTCAGGCAGATGCACTCCGACTTCGAAGGAAGCCCCCAATTAGTCGACTCTTACAACATGCTTGTTGGGAAGGCAGTGGGTCTATTTTTGTTTTCCCCACAGTGGGATCCCTGAACCTATACGGGGAACAAACTTTTGAGAAGGGGGCTTAGGACTAATCTCTGGACCCATCCAAGATGCAAACAGTGGAGAATGGAGAGTGAGCAATACAATTCATCATGTTTAAATCACCACTAGTTACTGGCTTCATGGGGGCTAACAGATTGAAATGGCTGGGGCATAGAGAGAGAACTGCAGACAACAGAAGAAAAAACCGCACACATACAAGAGTTAATGAGAGTAACTCTTGGCTACACCAAGACAGTGGTGGAGAGATCATATATAATACAAGTAGAAGACAAACTGAGTCAATTGTAAAAAGAAGGCCAAATACAGAGATGAATGGAGGCGGGTGGTGTATGTAGCAATGAACTTTTGAAGAAGTAGAAGAATTAAGCCAACAGCTACAACCTATGTACTGATATATGTATATAATCTGTTGTTATGTGATTGTACAATCAAACTGTCCTCAATAGATACGGCTAGCATGGAATAAACTATTTATCCTCAACATTATATTATGTACCTTAACGTGTTGACATAACCCACAGGTGAAAAGTCTGCCTGAGGTCTCTTATAGCGCCGCTATCTAAATGTAAAGCACCATATCTTTCTGTGTACAAGACACTGTGTTATCCTAAATTTTCAAGTCTGAAATTGGGGGGTCATCGTATAACATATTTATTTCTCATTTCTGAGCTCACTACAGTCGAGATGAGTCCACTTAAGTCGACATGACCAGCTTCGCCCCGGCAATTTTCTCTATGTGTGTGCTGTCTGGTTAAGTAGAAATTCTGATAAGTGGAAGCATTTTTCAAGGTCCCTGCGACTTCTACTTATCCAGACTCGACTGTAATAGGGGTCCTGATACATACAGAAAAATAGGGTGCTCACAGCATAGATCCCAGACCACCACTCAGAACCCCACATTAGTTTCACTGTTCATAAAAATACCCTTTACGTATTCTGTAAGTGTTTGATGATGATGATGAATTAAACTTCATGTTTACACACTCTGGTTGCTAACTTATGTGATTTCATTTTTTTTAAATCAATCTCACTGCATGCCAGGCATAAGATGCTGTGTCTCCTGCAGCAAATGTTAAAAATACTCATACTAACTGTTTCAACAGCACAGATAGTAACTACAATATCTTCTTTTCTCTACACCTGTAGCACAATATAACACTATTGTCCGAAAAGACAGAAAGGTGCCAGCCAATATGGGGGAGGGGGAACGGGGCGGCCCAGAGTGTCTTACCCCCCCCCCCCCCCAACCCACATTTGGACAATATACATTACATTTTTTGGTTGTTTGTTTTAAAACACACTGTATAACCAATTTTCAAGTGCCCTCAAAGCACTAGCCGCGATAAGAAATCACATATGAAAATGTCACACGTGTCCTTAATATATTATCTTGATAAGATATCCTATCTGTATAAACTGAGATCCCTGTGTGGGTCCGAGAGCCAGTTTGTGTGCGTGCGGGGGGGGGGGGGGTACACTGCTTCCTAACCAAACATGTCATAAAAGGCGACAAAATTAAGTAACTGCTGAAATTAGATGTGCTGGAGCAAAAGGCACAGATATCACACAGCCTACCTGTAACCACAACAAAATGTGCCAACTGCGCCCCAATGAGAGTGAGACAAGTTTCAGCACATGCATTAATAGTAATAACGGTGACAGTGAGTGAGATGTGATGTCAGATCCTCACACATGACATAGCACCTCATAAAGTACAGGAAAATCACCATTATATTCTGTACCACAGCCTACCTAAAGCACCAGAAGAAAACCGTTTTCATCATTCTGCACCACAACCTACTGCATAAACTTGAGGAACATCATCTTTATATTCTGCACCACAACCTACTGCATAAACTTGAGGAACATCATCTTTATATTCTGTACCACAGCCTACTGCATAAACTTGGGGAACATTTTCTTTATATTCTGTACCACAGCCTACGGCATAAACTTGGGAAAAACCATCTTCTTATTCTGTACCACAGCCTACTGCATAAACTTAGGAAAAACCATCTTCTTATTTTGTACCACGGTCTACTGCATAAACTTGGGAAAAACCATCTTCTTATTCTGTACCACAGCCTACTGCATAAACTTGGGAAAAGCCATCTTTTTATTCTGTACCACGGCCTACCCTCATAAATTTGTGGAACATCATCTTTATATTCTGTACCACAGCCTACATAAAGCACTAGAAGAAAACCATTTTCATCTTTCTGAACCACAGCCTACTGCATAAACTTGGGAAAAACCATCTTCTTATTCTGTACCACGGCCTACCCTCATAAATTTGTGGAACATCATCTTTATATTCTGTACCACAGCCTACCATCATAAACTTGAGGAACATCATCTTTATACTCTGTACCACATCTTATCCCATAAACTTGAGGAACATCATCTTTATACTCTGTTCCACATCTTATCCCATAAACTTGAGGAACATCATCTTTATACTCTGTACCACATCTTATCCCATAAACTTGAGGAACATCATCTTTATACTCTGTACCACATCTCATCCCATAAACTTGAGGAACATCATCTTTATACTCTGTACATCTTTTTCCATAAACTTGATGAAAACAATCATGGTATTCAGTACTATATAAACTTTAGGACAACTATCTTCAAATTCTGTACCAAACAGTACTGAATAAACTTTATGTAAACCATGTCTATTACCTACAACGATTATCTCAAAAACTAAAGAAATATATCAATATACCATAAAGCACAAATTCCAAATGGTCGCTCTAGACACATTGTGTTAGTGTAATCACTGGAATTGTATGAAAGCCACGTGACTTACCAAGGAATTCCTTCTGTTCATATTACAGGTTGTTCAATTATATGTTGTACCACATAGTACTGTATCAACTTTAGAAAAACTATCTTTAAATTATGTAACCATCTTTCTATTTTATTCTCGACAAACGATTATCTCACAAACTAGAAAAATAGTTCTGATACTTTGAACCACATCATATGACTGTGATTTTAGCATAATGATTAATAAATTCCAAACAATAAAATGGATTAATTTCACTGTGACCGCAGGGCTTATAATTCATTTACACACAGAATATCTGCAAAAGCTTTGAAACTAACTGATCCAATTATTTATGCAGCTCCCAGTGTGGGGTCCAGGTTCCCATTGTGGGGGAAAACAAGAATAGAACCACTGCCTGCCAAAAAGCATGTCATAAGAGTCTACTAATTGGGAGCTTCCTTCGAAGTCAGAGTACATCTGCCTGAGAGGCAAGGAACCAACAGTCTGCATGCAAATAACTTAGACCTGTGAAACAGATGTGCACGCAACGCTCAGTTTCTGGAACAGGGCTAGAGTCCAGAAGCAGATGAACAACCAGAACTTTTCCGCCCGAGTTTACAGCCGGGCGAACACAAAGAGGATTTATGCAGCATTTATACGGAGGACACCAACAAACAATCCTACCTTGGTGGCAGTTCTGTTCCACACAGTCACCTCATGGCCGGACCTCAGTAGGTTCATCACCATGCCCTGACCCATGATCCCTAGACCCAGAAAACCAATGCGAAGTGGCGTAGGAATGACTGTTGTTCCTGAAGGCTGCCGAAAAGGAGACACAGAAGAAAAAAAAAAGGGATAGCAAATCTTGGCTCTTTCGGCAACGGGAGATTGTTAAAGTAGTTCTAAATGGACGCATCATGCGTTTCTTAGCACCCAAAGAGTTTATAATCAGCTCCGCTGAATGGACTCTTGACCCTCCAATAAATTTCTTTGCTTTGTGGATGTTTATGGCACATAGGTGAACAAAGATGATATGTTCATGGTCTTTGGCTGGAATCTGCATTGGTTCAAATATAACATCTTCTATTTTGGCCTTGTAGTCGATCTGTTCATTACCGCGAAACTGCTTCCTGTGTCTGGTTTACAAAGTATCTGGTGTTTCGTTGCTTTGAGTTCTGTAATGTGCTCACGGGTTAGTGGGCATGTTTGTATAGACGGCGTTATGCAGTACTGGTGTTCTAAGTCCACAAGTTTAGCCTTTAGCTACCCAAACAACTCAGTAGATGCAAGTTGTAACATTGAGATCTAGCAGATAAAATTCAAAATGAGCCATTGACTTAATCTAGTTTGCATATTTAGGTTTTTACACAGAACTTCAGCCCATAAGCATGGGCCTCAGTTTGAATTCTAGTGAGTGCAAGCGATGATAAATTGCTGACATTTTTCTTTGGACTGTCCAATACATTGGATTTAGTTTTCTCTGTTCTCAATTACTTTCTTTCTCCACACACACAAAAACTCCAGACTTTCACAGCACTAGGCAAATGAATTAACCGCTCTACCACCAAGTAGATAATGGCTAAAGGGCTAGTTAATCCTACCCAAGAGATCAGGATTGCTTGCATGACACACAATGATTCAAGTAAAAATGATCAGCATATATTTTGGGATTTGAACCCAACACCCTTTGAGCCTGAGACAACCGCTGTAGCCTCTCAACCATACCAATTCCCTGGTGGTAAACCTTAAATAAATTTGCTTTCATAACCTAAAATATTGGCAGAAGTAACATTTACATGTGCACTGAAATAAAAACTCTAACCTTTTCTTCAGCATCCAACTGATCATATTCATCTAACTTTGCTGCTAAGGACGTCTCAGCTCCACTGAGTGTGTGTGGGGAGTGGATGGATTCTCCAGAGGACTCTGTCTTAGGGGTCCCTTCATGATTCGCTGCCTTGCTGCCTTTTGATACAAAGAACCTGTGGGAGAAGATAAAATGTTTAGTGCAATGTTGTCTCGAAGACAGTGTCCAAAGAAAGTTTTCTGTGTAATGTTGCCTTATTACAGCATGACTTTACCCAATTTCTTCTTCTTATCGTCTATAACGTGTGATGATCGTCGTAAGTCTATCCACAACCTGCTGTATCATGTCACTCTGCCACTCTGACCAGTTCGACTTCTTTATGACCTTACCAAGGATTTGAACCTGGGTCTCCTGCATAATAGACCAGAGTTCTTAACCATTTGGCCAGCCGCTCCTCTACTGACTCATGAAAACATAATATCACGGTCGAGAAGAAAGCAGCTAAAAATCAGTTAGGAATACGCTTAGTATGGAATGCCAAAGCATCCAATATTTGCAAACAATTAGTCACCCTTTATGACTTGCTTGTTACAGGATGGTGTCTATCCCTCCTCCCCCTGAAAGGCTGACCACATCATCCACAAAGTACTGATTAGTCAATAAAATATAGGTTTAGCCTGATATACCCAAAAACAACTGAAGAAGTGGGTCCTTTACTTTACTATATGTTAGTGTCAAGTCTGCCGTACAAAGACAAGATAAAGCAAAATATCATCATCAAGTGCTGTGATGGTCATGCCTTTCCACATTCTGTGATCTTTAACAGCATGTGTCAGTTCATGTGCTGACATCCCACCATGTCACGATACAAGACTGTGAAGAAATCTCCCATGTCGTCTTCCTATGACTCTTTTTCCACTCAGATCTCTCCAGTTTCACCCATGTTAGTTTCCTCCTTCTCCTAATATTAACACCCCCCCCCCCCCCAATAAAAACGAATATCTTTTTCTGTTTATGATAAGTTGTCTTAGAGCCCTCACCTATTTCAAAACATTGGTAAAGTAAAGGACCCTTTTCCCCGCCTTCAGGCATACTTGTCAAGACCTATATTTTATAGACCAATCAGCACTCGTCGGACGATGTGGTCAACACTAAGCCGACCCCCTTTACTTCCCAGGACTGTACCTGGTAAGAGCCAGGTCACACACACACAAATCTGGCTCTGTCAGGAGCTGAACCCACGACTTTCGGATCCCGCATACAAACCTCTAGCTGAGCCCATGTGAGTGTGACCAGCAAGACCCGCCCACGTTAAAAATGCCCCACAAATATAGCATGGGATTTCAGGACCGTTGTCAATATTTGTGTTAAGTCTGTTTCTTCTCAGACACTCAGCTCTCACCTTTTCTGCAGTCATTTCTTCCGTTATTCTCATTCCCTTCCTCATGTGCCCTCTTCACACAACACGGTCCATGGCATTTTGTTCTGAGTCCACCTCAGCACCTGCATCATTCATGTTCCGTTTGCACACATCTTAATATCATAATAGAGGTCGGCCTCGACCCATCTTTAATTTACCACAGAGGACGCCCTTAGGGACTCTGCCATCCTCCATTCTCCAGGTTTGAACCAGCCACCTGAGTTTTCGTAGACAAAACACTGAGAACACTGTTTAATGCCTGCTCTTTCCAATACCTCAGCGTTTGAGATCTTGTCCTGCTAAATGGTGCAATATATTGTTTGTGTTGTCAATATTTTAAAAAGTCTTACTTTTTCGGTGGTGATGGAGTTCCTGAAGTATTAGAGCTGGATGACCGCTTAACTGCCCCACTTAGGCCTCCTTTACGCACCGGTGATTTCAGTTTGCTCTAGGATACGTTAAAAAAATATGTAAACAACATACTAACAGTCAAACAACTCGTACATCTCATCTCGCTTTACGCACATATCATATACAACATCCCCTATATGGGTTCCTGGGCCCAACTGCAGGGAAAACAAGAGAGACCCACTGCCTTCCCAACAAGCACGTCGTAAGAGTCGACTAACTGGACTTCCTTTGAAGTCGGAGTGCTTCTGCCCAAGAACAACCAAAAGCACACAAAAAAAGTAAGTAAAATGAATGTACACGCAAAACTCAGGTCCTGGCACACAGCCAAAGTCCAGTGGATGAACAACTAGGACTTTCTGCCGGAGCTTACAGCCAGTGAACAAAGAAGAAGAAGATATACAACATAAAACTGGTGAAATATCAATATCACGCAGCATTTTTTTTTGCAGAACAGGGCTCTCATCACGGTCTGGCTGAAAGAAACTCAGTCTTTCGCCTCATGTACTTGTATTATTCAAGGAATCACTTATATCTTCTGCTCATCTTCGTGTTGGTCGGGCCCTATTACTCCTTCCTTCCAATCAACCATGATGCTTGATATGACAAAATATTTGAGCTTCAGAGACAAGAGGTTCCTTATCAGCCAATCTTCCTTGATGTTCAGATGTTTCAAAATGTCAGTATTTCTTTCTTCTTTGTCCTTGGTATCCGTGTTCAGATGTTTTAAAATGTCAGTATTTCCTTCTTCTTTGTCCGTGGTATCCGTGTTCAGATGTTTTAAAATGTCAGTATTTCTTTCTTCTTTGTCCTTGGTATCCTGATAATCTCTCTATAGCACTTGAGCTCAAAAAGCCCATTTTCTTTCTTAAGGACGAGGAGATAGTCCACGACTTACAGGGAAAACACATGCTCTCAAAATTTTAATTATGGTCTTGCTGTTGCTTAACCATAGACTTTTGATGCGGTTTAGGGTAAAAATATAGCAATGCACATATACAAAACACAGAATGGGGAGCAAAATATGAAAATAATTAAATATTCCTTCTGATAACATGAGATTACTGAGTATTTAGTTAAAAGGACCCTTGTCCATGTCTTAGGGCATATAGGGCTAAATCTATATTTTATAAAACTGCAGATAGAGAAGTCTGCGATCTCTCTGATAAAACTCTATACCCCCAAAGTAGAAGACGATCAACTAAATAAGTCTATACAGACCAGTCGATGGGTGAACTAGTCAATATTATGATGGATGCCTCTATCTCCTAGGATATACCTGGTGCTCATTTAAGGCTGGGTCGACCTGGAGGCCAAGTTCATTTTTAAAAAAAGTATGCATCTGTCAGGACCTTCAGATCCACAGGCAAGAGTGGGTAGTTTAGTTATCTAGTGGTCAAATCATCCTCGCATCTGTCAGGACCTTCAGATCCACAGGCAAGAGTGGGTAGTTTAGTTATCTAGTGGTCAAATCATCCTCGCATCTGTCAGGACCTTCAGATCCACAGGAAAGCGTGGGTAGTTTAGTTATCTAGTGGTCAAATCATCCTCGCATCTGTCAGGACCTTCAGATCCACAGGCAAGAGTGGGTAGTTTAGTTATCTAGTGGTCAAATCATCCTCGCATCTGTCAGGACCTTCAGATCCACAGGCAAGAGTGGGTAGTTTAGTTATCTAGTGGTCAAATCATCCTCGCATCTGTCAGGACCTTCAGATCCACAGGAAAGCGTGGGTAGTTTAGTTATCTAGTGGTCAAATCATCCTCGCATCTGTCAGGACCTTCAGATCCACAGGCAAGAGTGGGTAGTTTAGTTATCTAGTGGTCAAATCATCCTCGCATCTGTCAGGACCTTTAGATCCACAGGCAAGCTTGGGTAGTTTAGTTAACTAGTGGTCAAATCATCCTCGCATCTGTCAGGACCTTCTGATCCACAGGAAAGCGTGGGTAGTTGAGTTAATTGGTCGACAAATCATCCTCACTGCAGATCAAACCATTTAGTCTACAAGTGCTTGGATCCTTCCCTCAATAAATCCTGCAGCTTTTACTGGCTGATGACACCAGTTTTGTGTTGGTTTATTTATTATTCTCTGACTTCTCACACAGCATCCAGTATAACAGCCTGGCCCACAATCACAACAATTATACTTCATCGTTTATAACGGAACCCTGGCGGAGGACGTGCGAGATGAATTTATACAGCTTGAAATGAGTAAAGGACAGGTGAGATAAATTTATACAGCTTGAAATGGGTAGAGGACAGGTGAGATAAATTTATACAGCTTGAAATGGGTAGAGGACAGGTGAGAAAAATTTATACAGCTTGAAATGGGTAGAGGACAGGAGAGATAAATTTATACAGCTTGAAATGGGCCTCAAGTTTCCCTCCTACCTTTCTGGTTTGTGATTCTCTCCCTTCCTTCTTCACTTTAGGCGGCTTGGTCACCTGTAAAAGATGTAAAACAAGAATTCCTTAAAAACATCTCAAAAACGTTAGTTAAAAAACATCTCCAACAGTTAAGTTTTTGATCATCTCAACAACTTTACAATTTAAGACTTCTTTCTGTAATTGATCAGACTGTCTGAATAACTGCTAGTCATTGAAACGAAGATGAAATGTTACACCTAGGATTGGCAGGACCAAATGCACAAATAAATACTCTATTTTTGAAAGAGACAGAAAACATGTCACATAGGTCGAACATTCTGCCCTTCCAACAACTAATCGCTAACAAATTAATGTTCTCTATTGTGTACGTCACATTATGCAGACAAAAGGAAAAAAAGGAACATCACACCCAGTATTAAAATGGTTGTGTTTTCTTTACAGGACGTTGCATAACCAACCCAAGCATTTTTTGGCTGTTGTGGTTTTTTTAAGGCAAATTTTATGTTCAGCAGTTTGCCATTCCCCCTGAATGGTCAGCTCTCAGTACTACTGTCGAAACCAATGCAAGACAAGTCATCTGCAGCTGGGATCGAACCTAGCACTACAAATGTATTTGCAAAACCTAAGCCACACACTCATCCAGTGTGATTTACACCTAGTTAACGCAAAAAGAGCTATTGCGCTAAAAGCACACAAACCTATGCCTCGCAAATGATGCAAAACATACTGAAGATGTTATTTAATATTCCATCTGAAAAAAATGTTAATAAATTTCATTTCTTGAAAATATGTGTTTCTGCCAATATGTCCAGACTTAAGGGACGCCCATAATATCCTTGCACTGGAACCCAAAGGGTAAAGAAATAAAGAGCAGAACAAAATACACCTGCAAACAAAAAAGAATTAAAATTTCAGGTGAAAAAGATACGTCACAGACATATATTCTAGTTTTGGTGTTTACTCGTAAAAGGGCAGTTGCATGCTGTGGTGAGATCTATAGCTGGGCTATTCAACTAGGTTTGCTCAGGGGTCAAAATGTTGAAAATGGGGATCATCATGGGCCAGAGTCTGCAGCCCAAGAATGGAAAGATCATTAATACAATACAACTGGCAGTGATTCGTGGGCCACTTGCTAGGTCTCAGCTAATATCTCCACCTATCGACCCAACACATTCGATTTCAGCAAAAGCATTTTTACAACATATTTGTTAGGGAGGCGGGTGGTCCATTTCTTTCTTCCACAGAAACAGGGCCTACGAAACCCACATATACCCACCCGTTGTACACCAGAAGAAGAAGTCCTTGTTTGGGTTCCAGGGCCCCACTGTCTGGAAAACCACAACAGACCCAGTGCTCCCCCAACAAGTATGCCAAAAGAGTCGACTAAACAGGAGATTCCTTCCAAATCGGAGTGCCCATCTGCCTGACAGGCAATTACCCAAGAGTCTGCATACAAATAAGCTAGATCTGCAAATCGGATGTGGATACAACACTCATGTTTTGGAACAAGACTTAATTCCAGAGGTACAGGAACAATCATAACTTTTCTTTAGAGTTTACAGCCGGTGTACGCAAAGAAAAAGATAACTTTATGTATCTGAATTATGAGTTCAACAATGAATTCTGACCAATAGTGTCCCTGCTATCCTCACTGGGATAATAGGAAACTTCATCACAACCACCGTGCAGGTCTTTTGAAACAAACATCACTCTCACCACGGCACACCCGGATAATAGGAAACTTCATCATCACCACCGCGCAGGTCTTTTGAAACAAACATCACTCTCACCACGGCACACCCGAAAGTCTCTCTTTGTGTAATCAATTCTCCAGCCCTATGCACTTTCATGGCCAGTGCATTTTCAACTTCAGGGAGGTTGACCTCTGCCTCACATCCTCAAAAACTGAAAACTGTACGCTCTATACCCGATGTCCCCCTCCCCCCAATGACTTCTGACAAGGCCAAAACACTGCAGCTTTTGTGACAGGATGCTGTTTATGAGCCAACTCTCACTGATGCTCAGATCATGTAGGAGATCAGTGGTTTTTCTTCTTCTGGATCCATATTATTCTAAGAATTTGTCTGTAACATTTCAACTTGGAAGTTCTAATTTTTTTTTTAAATTTCAACAAGGACATTAACAACTATTTGGGAGTGAAACCGTTTTGGGCAGAAGAATGAAAAGACAAATGAAATAATAGTACCTTTTTAACAGCAGTGCTAGGTGAAGCCTCAGAGTCAGTACTGAGTGTTTTCTGCTGCATAAGAGCCACCTCCTCGTCAATTGACGGCAGATCCTCAAGAGTCCCAGATGCCTTCGGAGAAAACAACTGCACATCATCAGTAAAATCATACAGTCTAGGGCACTAGTTGCTGCAGATATTATATTAGAGGTTTTATGACTGACTGGCTTGTAAACATTGACAAACTGACACCAATACAGCCCTATTCTTCGTCTTCTTCTTGTGCACCAGAGAAAAGTTCTAGTTGTTCATCCACCTCCTGAATTTTATCTTGTTCCAGAACCTGAGTGTTGCAAGCATATCCATTTACAGATCTGGCTTATCTGTATGCAGATTTCTGGTTACTTGCCTCTCAGGCAGATGCACTCTGAAGGAATCCCCCAATTAGTTGACTTCTATGACATGCTTGCTGATGAGGCAGTGGATCTATTCTTGTTTCCCCCACAACGGGGCTCTGAACCCACACTGGGGGGCAGCACTATTCAATACAGTATTTTTACCAACACTGTGTTCATCATCAAGTGTCTTGCCAGCTGGCGTAGGCGTTTATGCATCTCCACAGATTTCGGTCTTAATTGTTCTGGATCAATTCCAATGATGACATTCCCCCCATGTCACTGTCTTTAGCCATCCACCATCATTTCTCTTGGTCTGTCTCTACCTCTTCTACCAGTGATCTTTCCAGTCGTCACAATATTTTCCAGTGCTCCTTTTCTTATAACATGACTGAAGAATTTTGTTCTCCTTCTCATTGTTGTATACAATGTTCTACTTTCATTAGCTATTTCTAGGCAATCAATGTTAGTTTTTGGCAGTCCAAGGTATTCGCAACATTCTTCTGAAGAACCAAGACCAAATGGTTCCAACTGCCTCCAAACTCTTCTTAACTGAATTACCAGTGTTACCACTGCCATATGTGGACATTTACAGAAACACACACAAAGTGAAACAGAAATTAAATGTCTACTATGAACCCTTAATGTAACAAGAGACAGGATCAGAAATTACCATATCAGGAAAAAAGTTAAATGGAACCAGTACTAAATTACACCCAGAAACAGATTAGATGGTTCAGACATGTGTCAAGACTACCATAAGACAGAACACCACAGAGAGCACTGTCACTTAGACATAATGAAAGCAGATCTAGAGGTTAACCATGCAAGCGATGGACAGATGGAATATCTGAGGTCATAAATATCAGTATCAAGGTAGCACATACTAAGGCTCTCACCCGATGCCTCTTCAAAACCTGACGCAGAAAGGCAGTAGAGGAAAGCTTTGAAACTGAGATACTGTCAGGAAGCATTTCGGAAGCCATTAAAAAAAATGTAATTAAAGGTGAAAGAACTGACTTTGCTGCACACACTGGCGACTGTGTTTCCCATTGGCTGGCCGGTAGACGACTTCGTCACCTATCAAGACAGTAATTAGGTCTGCATGTTTGATCGCATCAACATCGCAAGATCCATTTTCAGAACTACTTGGTGACGAGCAATGCTACGCTATTTTACTTAGTGCACATAACCTAGTCACAATTACAACCTAAAGCTTCCTCTTCTAGGATGCTGGCTGAATGTGACAAATTTTTTTTTTTATTTAAAGAAAAGCTACGAAATGGAACTTTGCTACCTAGGTTTTACCCACCTGACTTGGTCTCTCTGCAAAGTGGTTTGTCATCTGCTGAGTGTCACACAAACTACAACAGCTTTCCACAAAAGAAGTCACTTCCATCACGTGCCTATCTTCGCACTTGTCAGCCCCTGGCCCTCTTTCTTGGCACCATGCCTTCTGAGAGACATAACCCGTACCCCATTACGAAGACACATCATAAAAGTGATATATACAAAGGGCCTCATGTCGCGTTAGCTGAAAGCAACTTTAACATACACAACAAACAACCTGTAACCTCACCACAATTGCCTGATGTTCATTCTCAATGGCCTCCAAAGCCTCTTTAAAACCTTTAGGCATGCGGGTACTTGCTTCATACTTGCTCTTGAACTCCACATAACGGTAGATACTATCCTCTGGGATCCAAGCACTAGAGATAATAGAACACACAATATCTAGAACTGTCTATAATTGCTTTAAATCAGAGTTTTGCGACCTGTGGTCGGCGTAGAGGCATTAGTCCGTAGAGACTTCACAGTGGAGAACCATAAATTGCCAATGAATTATGTAGTGAAATCATTTCACAACATCGGTAGACACTAGATCAAATGGTCTGGCCATGTAACAAGTATGGCAACAGACAGGGCACCACAAAAAACAGTAATACAGATACACCGGTAACAGACCCAGAGATCGAGCCCAAAGAAGATGGACAGCAGAAATATCGGAGGCACTAAAACAGTACTGTATTTGAAGTAAACAGAAGGACCAGTTCCAGAAATCTCTTCCTGCCCTGAAGCTGTGAGGTATACCAGCAGTAGTAACACACACACACACAAAAAGCATTTCACAATCCAATCTTCGACATACCAGAGTTTGATTTTCATAATTAGTAACTTAGAATCGCTTGTGGTTTTCAGACAGCCGTGTATGAGAGTTGTGCTATGGAGGAGATTGTGGCTTCACACTGTAACATACTCAAAGAAGCCAGTAGTGGATGCACTGCAGACAAGTTCCTTTCATGTTAAGCACACTTTTTTTTAAAATCTACATTTGTTGATGTTAATACCAAAAATACTTTTTTGCTATCAGTGCCAAACGTAGATAATGAGTAAATCAGGAGAACAGAAAACTACATGCAAGAAAATGCTGCCTCCAAAAAGTCACCTACAACTCAAGAAGGGACATGGTCGTGATAACTGGAAAAACCTTGTGTAAATTTCACTGAAAGACAGAATAAAGTGGTTTGGCCATCAAAAGCAGCCAGACATAACTGTGTATGAGACCTTCTACGGCAAAAAAAAAAAAAAAAAAAAAAAAAACTTGAGGAAAGGTGAGAGGACGATAGATAGCACAGCTGAATCTTGCACAAATATTAACAAATTCATCACTCAAGCGACTTGAGAAGTGTAACAGAAGTACAGAAAACTATGACACAGGGCTATAACTTACTTAAAAGCGGGATGGGTGACAAAAGAAATAAAACAGAATATATATATATACATACACACACCATCATCTAAAAACTTGTTTAGGAAACAAGGGAGTTTTGCAAATACACAGATCTTAAGCAGTTAAAAAACATAAAAATCTTGTTCTTCTTTGCGTTCACAAGCTGTTAACTCTGGTTGAAAGTTCTGTTCCAGAACCTGAGTGTTACGTGCGCATCCGTTTGACAGATCTGTCTAATTTGTGTGCAGACTGTTGGTTCTTAGCATCTCAGACAGATGCACTCCGACTTCGAAGGAAGCTCCCAATTAGTCGATTCTTACGACCTGTTTTTGAGTAGGCAGTGGGCCTATTCTTGTTTACCCTATAATAGGACCCCGGAACCCACACGGGGAAACATAAAAATGATATAGAAACTATGTTTCCAATAACAAACAATAAATTAAACATTTGAAACCACAATCAAAATAAAAAGAACAAAGAAGCCCAACTACGAATAATAACTTACTAGTTCTCAGATCCATAGAAATAAACAAACTGGAAGTTTTTCTTCCCACCTGGCTTCTTGATGTTGTCTCTGACCTCCACAATCTAACAACAAAGCACAAACATGCAAGAATAATTACAAAAAATGTAGTTCATATACATGATTTTAAGAGTTATTTTTGACTTGACATTTATCGCTACTTTTCTTCCTGCATTTTCTTCTACGATTTTCATTTTAATACTGTTAGACGAGCTCTCATGACAAAACTGATCACCCGAAGTTACTCTTTGGTTCCATCTTCTTCTTGTCTTTCTCCTGTAACTACAGCATAGGTTGCGGGGGGATTGGGAAAATAACATGTGTTAACTTTCTCATTGTATCCTAATTTTAGCCTAGTTCTTTCTGTCCTTTGTGATTGTTGTTGTTTGTCCACCACAACTGATGAAGACCACCTGAAATTCAGAAGTAATTAAGTCAATCATGAGTACAGATGACTGATGGGTCTTACTTGAGCTGTGAAAGTTCTTGAGTAATGCAAATGACAGATGGAAGCGACAGCAGAGGTGGAATTTACTGCACTGTTCTTTCTAGTTGGCCTCCGGTTCTCTTCTAGTGCAATCTTACCTGCCTGCCAGGCTGATGCACCATACTTGAGAACTATACAATTACAACATCTTGTGCAACATTAGCCTTGTTTGCATGTTTATTAATGCCAAAAGTTTAAGTAAACAGCAGTTTTAGGAGTCCTTATAGCATTTTCCCATTCCCTGGGGATCTTTTCTTACAGTGGAGTGTCCCCAAAAATTAATCTTTCAGGAAGTTGATAGTTTGGCATACAGGTTAGGAGAAAAGCCTAGCAAATTATTGTCACAACTTTACCTCACCTAAACAAGGTTTTCACCAAAGTAGAACTCATGAAAATGAATAGCCATTGAGTTAACAGTATGTGCCGATTCCTCGCCAACAAAAAACAAAATGATTAACACATTCTGTTTTTAGGGACAGCTTTTATCGAGTTTGCTCTCTAGACAGTTGCAGCCCCTGCTAACGAGATTCTGTCTTCCTGAGTGGGCTGACGCGATCAAAACACTGTGAAGGCAGGGTGGTCGAGGCTGCCAAAACTATCGGTCTTTTTCCTGTCTTGATAAAGCACAACCACAATACATGCTGCTCTCATGAAAAACATATAGTATCTTGCGTTGGAAAAACGCACATAAAATACCACAACATAAAAAGGAAACAGAACAATCGGAGAGAAATCACAACCAGTGAAAAGAAAACAATGCTGCTATTTGCAGCAACAAGTCATGGAACTGAATAAAGCGAAGTAATTAGTGCCTGGACTGAAACAGGTTTTTTTTTTGGGGGGGGGGGGGGGGGGGGGGGGGGGGGTTAATAATTATGTGTAAGCAGTAAGGATCTTCTGTTGCTCAACAAACCGTGTAGGTCTGTAGTTTGGGCTTCATTTCTTTCCTGTTGCTCTTGATGTTCTGTATTATTTTAGTGCAACTGCCCTTGTTTATTTTATTTCTACTATCGGACTTCCTGTAGATGTTATGTTAACATTTGGCTCTCCTTTCACTACCGGACGGTAGCTGGGCGGCTTAGTGGGAGTTCTCTCCCTTGGCCGCATTGCAAACAAGGAGCGAAAAAGTCACGAATCAAAGAAGACAGTGAGGTCTACACTAGGGCTGCCAATGCTTGGTTGTGTCCCCCAGATCTGGGTTTTTTTTTCGCTGCAGGGGTATCTGGGGTTTGGGGGGGGGGGGGAGGGGGGTTTGCCGATTTAGGGGTAGGATTAGGGTTACGGTTAAGTTTAGTGTTAGATGTGACACTTTTGACGCCGGAGTTCCCTATAATCGTGCACAGTCACATACACACCCAAACAGTCGACGGACTGTGGATGCTACTGACACGGACAATTCGCCACCGATTGGACACCAGCCGCGCGCTATTGCCGTCATATTTGGCAGAATTCCAGTGGCGCCACTCCCACAAGCATCAGATTGTCGGCCAGTATTTGGAACTTCTACGTCAAAATTTTCACATCTAAACCTACCCCTAACCCAAACCCTACGCAACCGTATGATGATAGGTAACCCTAGACGCAAACCGTATGATGACTACGCAACCCTTCACGCAACCGTATGATGACTAGGCAACACTACACACAACCGTATGATGATAGGTATGTCATTTGATTTGTGACTTTTCTGCTCACTGTTTGCAATGCGGCCAAGGGAGAGAACTCCCACTAAGCCATCCAGCTACCGTCCGGTAGTGAAAGAAGAGCCTAACATTCTTATGTGGATTTCCTGTTGTTAATTTTATTCTTACTGTTTGGCTCCCTGTGGAAGTTGTGCTTTAGTGGAACTGTAGGACTAATTTCAGTACTAGTCTTCTTCAGATATCTTTAATTTAATTGTATCTCTACAGTCATTTTAACCATTAAATAAATTATGCATATACCGTGCACTGCAATCAATACTGAATACTGTCTCATCTGAATAACACAAGTTAATAACTTAATGTTCCACAATTCAATTCTAAGTCATTTATATACAAGATAAGCCAGGGATATATATATTTTTTTAAAGAGAGAAGAAAAAAGGGGTTGGTGCGGGAGGGGGCGGTGGTAGTACTTAAATACAGGGTACTAATACTATAAAACTTTGTACCTGCCACCTCAAATTTCAAGTTTTTCAGGTGTTACCTTTATCTTTGTTTCATGACTCCCTTTATGATTAAACTAATTCCAAATAAATATGCTGACTCTTTTTGAAAGTCAGGTCTGTGGCTTAGGTGTTGCAAACACGCTTTGTAATGCCAGGGTGCTAGGTTCAATATTAGCTACGGACGGTCTGTCTTGTGTTAGTGCAGAAAGTGGTATTGAGAGCTGACTGTTAAGAAAACAAAGGCAAACTATTGAACGTAACATTTGCCTAGAACAACCACAACCGCTAAAAATGTTAGTAATGCAACATCCAGTAACGTAAAAGATACGCAACTACTAACTTTAACTTCCTGAGAAAAAACAAAACAAGACTGGCTCCTAAATTTAGTTTAATCTAACCATGTAATCAAGCTGCTACTGGAATCCTCGGTTGCACTTTAGGTTAGGGAACATCCCCGAGCTGAAAGCGGTTTTTTCTTAACGCAGTTCTTTCTTTAGAGGGCTGCGTGGTCTCAAGGCATGGATGGTGTCCGCCTCGAGTGCTAGAGGTTCCGGGTTCAATCCCCGGTAAGGGCTGGGATTTTTTAACATGGACTTGGAATCTAGTTATTTTCCTTGGTCTCTGTGTAGTAAGTTTATATGCCCGTATGCATTGTTGGGCATTTGCAGATGGAAATGGAAAAAAGTAGCCTAACCCTAATGGTGCTGCCCTGTCAAAATTTGGAATTGAAAGTATTTCAGGATCCTTGTGGATGCTACACAGCCCGTGCACTGTGCACAGCTTCTTCGGACTCGCTGGAGTTAGAAGAAGAACGGAGCACTTGTCATGGGTTACTACCCCTGAGCCAGGATGTTGATAAACTTGATACTGATACACTATACACATACATTGTTCCAAACCTTAAAGTTTAAATATCTTTACCTTACCCCTGTATGCATACGAATCCTTTGTCCAACATTACTCAACGTTACTTAAATTATGGAATTCTATAAAGTGGGAAACTACCCTAAACAAGCTATTAAATGGGAGCTGGTATGTTGGCGCCACTGTCTTCCTAAGCGATTCATCTGAGAAAACAACAATTTTTTAGCACTCTTCTGACTAGAAAGCAAGAAAGAAGTCTGAGATGAACATACCTTTCCTGGCCATGCCTGGAACCCCTTCATCTTTGCCCTGCAAAATAATAGAAATAACAGTTACTTCGTGCTAACGGTAAGGGGTTAAAGTCAATATACAAGATATTAAAAGGGGTAAAGTTGGTTTCACGTACCACACCAGATCGCCAATTTTGAAATCCGTCGCCATGATTCTAGTCAACACTCTACAGGAAGTTGCGCCGAAGGGTTTAAGGTAAAGGACGCCCTGGCTGCCGTCGTTGAATTCGTTGTTTTATCGCCATTTTACTGGAATGCTTCAGAAATAATTTATTAGAGCCAGTTTTTATCTATGGCTGTACATCGTAGATATTTAATATAGGGTAACCTATCCCAAAACAGGACATAATTTTTTTTTAAATTAAAGCACTTTCCCCGCTGGACTTCAATTACTTCGCAAACGTAGCCTGAGCCTCTAATATAACCTCACGTTTGAACGGAGTATCTGGGACTTGCGCCTGGGGGATTCTCATTAGAATTGGGGTACTTTGTGTCACCAGGTATTAACCGCTCGTTGTGTGGTTAAACGTCGCTCACTCGATAATTATAAACATCCAAACAATACAATGAAGCCTTAACATAAACTGCTACCCCACACTGGACTGCAAGATAGTTGGTAAAATACGGGGCGCCCTTGTATATCTGTGTGTCCCATTCTGTGACTGCAGAAAGGATGAAAGTTGCGCGCCTGAGAAGAAACAGACTAAGCACAAATGGAAATAACCAAATATGGACAATAGGAAATAATTAAAATTGGATAATTTCCCTATTGCTTCGAGCGCTTGTCTTATCTCTAACTTTTTCTTCAGCATTCCGAGCCTTGAGGTTCATTCTGCAGATATCACCCGCCTCCAATCATCTCTCTCGCTGACCTTCTCCCTCCAGTTGGTGACATCAAGTGTTTGTGTGTCGTCTAGATATTATCCCCTATCGTCTTCTTGGTCGGCCTCGTGGTCTACGACCATTCAGGTCTCTAGTGTATACAGATTTTACCTCACTGTCGTCTGACATTATCTCATTGGACCTATTTCCCGGCCGGGGGATCTGGAGTGTCAGATACTAGTAGTACCTCTCGCGAGGTGACCGTCATGTCCTTCTTAGGACAGTTCACCACCATTGGGCTAGGTCTGGCACTCAGCTTTTTCCTGTGGCTCCCAGCAGCTGTAAGCATGCGATAGCGGCCACTCTCCGGGCAACAGCTTTGACGGGCTGGCTAAACCCGGAGAGGGTAACCAGCCTGGTTCTAAACCAATCGGTGATTAGGATATGTCTACACTGCAAGCAAATACTGGACTCCACGGATTGTGCGGATGAAACCTCTTATTGGTTCAAAGTGCAATAAGGCGTTTACCAGCAGGCTCCTTGGAGAGCTTCGAGCAAGGCAGGGCACTTAAGACGACTTGGTCATTCACTGCACCTAGGTCCATTTCCAATCGTCTCGACATTGTCCTGCCATTGGATCAAGATGAACATAGGCGAGAGAGTGAGGTCGACGAATTCCTCACTTAAATCCAAGTCCGTGCCCAAGTCACTTTCATCCGGCTTTTACTTTGGATGAAAGTGGTCTTCATCACTCGTGATGGATGAACAACATACCCCAGCCATTTCAATCTATTAGCTCTTATGATGCCAGTGATCGGTGGTGATTAAAACAGATTTATGAATTTCGTTGTTCCTTCTCACTCTCTATTCTCCGCTGTTTGCATCTTTAATAGGTCCAAAGATTCGTCTTAAGGTTCATTACTCACAGGGTAGCCGCAGGAGTGCTTCAGAGACGGGTGATACTAAGGTGTGGTTGTTGATACTGTCGTGGAGTGAACAGCCAACCCTATACGATGGACGAGTCGCGACGCTGACTCCCTAAGCGGGCAGTCACATTTCAAACTTACACCCGTCCGGAGGGATATATAGTCCCTTATAATGAAATATACCTTTATCTGGTGAAATATTCATTTCTAGACCCTCTAGTTGCTTTGAGATATCTTCATTTTCAAACTTGCAACTGTGGGCTGAAGATTTCTGGTGTTTAATTCAGAAATTATTCCTGTAAGCCTGTTTACTCCTTGGGCATGAATACAGGGACTTCTTTCCTGGAGACGCGAAGCTTAGTTTTGAGCGGCATTCTTTCGCCTGGTCTCCAAAGTGTCAAGACGTGTATACAGTCTATGAATAAAAGTGGCGCATGCAAAGAACCAGTTTTATCTTTGAAGAATTCCTAAGCTTGGGATGATCCCTCCTTAGAGAGCAGACAGACGAATCACAGTCCAGCCAACAACCACCAACCAATACCATTCTGGGCACCAAGTATACCCAAAAGTCCTGTTTATTGTTGCCACTACCTCAACATGGCAAGAGCTTGTTTGTGAGTTCCAGGACTGGCGGACAATTGCAGACCCTTACGTCATCAATCCAGAGAATCAGTCTTCGAGAGCTTTGTTGGGCTCTTATGCACTTCCTGTATCCTCATCTGTGAGACAGTCAGCGGGCACCAGTCTTCAAGAGCTTTGTTGGGCTCCTATGCAGTTCCTGTGTCCTCACTTGGGAGACAGTCAGCTTGTACCAGATCAAATCGAAGCATAGCTACCTTTTGAGTCAACCACAGTCAAATCACCATGGACTGAGGGGAGCAGTGACCTACGAACTGGAATAAGTGATCTCTTAATTACATACATGCTCTCTTCCCACAGATCCTTGTGATTCCTATGGTGAACTCATGTAATATCCAAGAACTACATCTGGCTGCTTCAACATCTGGGTTGTGTCATTGATTCATGAAATCCATTCACTTAACATTCTTGATGATCTATTCAGTAATATATGTATATATAATGTACTTATTACATGCAGAAATTCTCATGGCTGACTTGTGTGTCCCTGTTTCACCATTCTAACTGTTTAGCTTTTATGTTTGTGTGAGTAATAAGTGTAATCTGTGTTAACATGGCTATGATAGTATACTATCATAACCTGGGAGCTACCTTTTTATAGTAGTGGGGGTGTCCAGCCAAGTGTGCCTAGGAAGATTATATATTTTGTAGTGCCAAAGCTTGAGTTGCCCTAATCCTGAAATAAGTTGAGCTTATATTGGCCACGTGATATCCCTTAGACCAATACGAGCCAACGACTCAACATTATTATTTCAGGGTGCTGTTGGTTCTTAAGGAGAAATCCTTAAATCAGGCACGTGACAGGAGCGGTATGTGACCGATACTCAGACAAAATAACCATCAGTTCAGGATTGCCTCAAGGTTCGCCACTGTCTCCAGTTCTATTTAATGTGTAAACAGTGCTGATAACTGAGCAGCAGTTGCACGGGATTGGCAGGACCTTGTCATTTGCTGATGACGTTTTGGTATATCGACAAGGAAGAGATCGTCAAGAGATTGCCAAATAAGTGCAGAGTAAAACTGATCGCATCTCCTCCTGGTGTGCAGATTCTAATACTCATGTCAACACTCGAAGGCCTCAATAACGTGGTTCTCCTTGAACACTCATATCTTATCCTTCTTCTTCTTGGCGTTCACCGGCTGTAAACTCCGGCGGAAAGTTCTGGTTGTTCGTTCACTTCTAGACTGCAGTCCTGTTTCATAACCTGAGTGATGCGTGTGCATCCGTTTGACATATCTGACTCATTTGTGTGCATACTATTGGTTCCTTGCCTCTCAGGCAGTTCCACTCCGAATTCGAAGGAAGCTCCCAGTTAGTCGACTCTTACGTCATGCTTTTGGGCAGGCAGTGGGTCTATTCTTGTTTTCCATATAATAGGACCCCGGAACCCACACGGGGGGAAAACGCTCATATAGTGAAGGCAGACTTAACAGCAGTGAAAAACAGCGAGGAAATTTTGACGAGAACAAATCTGATCACATACCTCAGATTGAGGTTTGATCGCAGCCTGTTCTTCTAAGAACATGTTGACCATGTTATAACAAAAGCACGCAAAGGCCTGTTAGCAATGAGGGTCCTGGCCGCCGCTAACATTGAGCAGAGACTTCTTCTGCTTCTATTCCAAGGACTTGTATTTTCTTCCATTGAATATGCTCTAGCCATCCTCACTATCAGCCATACTTAGACTGAAAAACTTGAGAAGGTGCAAAACGAAGCAATGTGCATTATTCTGGGGTGCACTGGAGACACCTCTTGTGTAGCAATGAGGTACCTTCTTGACTTCCCTACCATGAACTAGAGGATCAAGATCTGGAGGGCTCGTACATACCTCAAGATAAGTTTAGATTTGAAGCACCCTTTGCAACACATGCTTTTCATGAAAAAGGACAATAGACTTAGAAGGGGCAAATCATGACTGGGTAGGGCAGAGGATAACATTATGCAGGTCTGCAGTCTTACAGATATCCACCCAGGTGAGGAGTGGATACCAGCGTTTAAAGCACCCAATCTCACATTCTCCTGTTTCGTGACGCTTGATAGGAGTTGTCACCAGCAAAATCCCGCTGCTGTCAACGCTGAAGTATGCGCGCTTATCAGTGACAAGTCAGATGAGACAGATTTGCTGATCTTTACCGACGGGTCCGTTATACGAGAACATAAGAGTGCATGGGCATTTACAGCTCGCTCTTCAGGCAGAACAGTTCAAAAAGCCAGCGGTGCCTTCTCCATGACTACCAGCTGCATGGCGATGGCGGTGACACAAGCTTTCATGTGGCTAGAATCACAGGACTATTCCCGCGTGTGTGTGCTGAATGATTCTTTGAGCATGATCCCGCGGGTCATGGCAGGCTGGCTACGCAGACAGTGGGTTGAGTCAATGCAAAACTCTCCTGTGTGTGCAGTTACTTTTATTTTTGTCTCAGAGTATGCTGGTATTGTTGATAATGAAAGCGCTGATAGACTGGCAGGTGCCGCATTAATTGAAGATGGCCGACCCATGGATCACGCAGATATTGTCAATGATCTTAGAGAGATAGGACGTTCCAACGATTTTAGAAGCAATGTGCCCACATCACTGCTAAGAATACGAGAACTGGGAGTAAAGATCGGCACAGCCAAGCATAAGACGCACACCGGACGCAAACGAAGTCTTGTCAACCAGCATAGGACCGGCACTATTAACCGCACGACGCTGATAAATATGTTGAGAGGGGAATCTAAACAGAGACTTTGACTTTAGCAGATGTTGAGTTGTCAAGAACT